TCAAATAATCGGTTATCACGGTCGTCATATACGGTCACGTTCTGACCGGCATCATTTTTGAAGAAATATGGACCGCTGATTTCACCAGCCCACAAACCATACCAAACCGTTCTTTTTTTTTTTTGGTGTGAAATAAACGCTCTTGAATTTCCTTAGGTTGCTCTTTGTGCCAAACGCGCAATGTTTTTTGTTTACATATCCTTTGAGCCATTGGGCCTCATCGCTAAACAAAATTTGGCTGGAACACGTCGGATCCACTTGGAACTTTTCAAGAGCCCATGGAACAAAGCACTTGGGAAGGTCGAGCGGCTTCAGTTCTTGTTCAAGCCGTATTTTATATGCTTTGCTTCGGTGGAATAATATCCAATAATGAAAGCTGGGTCTCAAGATGGCCGATTAGGTTGACCATAAGTGGTGCCATTTGTAAACGTTGTGCAGTCGTAAGGGTTTCCATGATGAAATGCCAAACAATACTGAACAAAAATAACATGACACCTCGGCAGGACTCACGCGTGACCTGGCAATATAAGCCTATTGAAAAATGTACCGCTACTCGGATAACCCGTTATCACTTTTTTCCAAAAAAAAAAATATTATAAACTAGAAATGTATATCGAGCTTCACCCATGCAATCCGCTCTAACACTAGATATCAGTAAATTTTACATGAAAAATTTAATTTTTTATTTACGGTCGGAACTTCAGCGAATCTTTCATTTGCAATGCGATAAACTTTTTTTAAATTTGAATTTTTCCTACTTTACTAAATGCATTTGTCCCAATTATGAATACTTGACCTGATAACCTTGAGCTCCATGCTGAAATCCCCTTTTACAAAAGAGAGAAAAGATGGAGAGTGGGAGTGCGAGTGCCATCTGCGAGAAAAAGAGAGAGAGAGAGAGCAATGTACCGCGCACAAAGATATTTACACTCACATGAATTCATGAAAATATTTACAAGCAAATAAATATGTACATAAGTCCATCTATATACATACATAGAGCTCCAGCTAAAAATACAGTGCAAAGAGAAAGAAAAAAATAATATCCAAAGCAATAACAACAACATGTACATTAACACCAACTTAAAATGTCACAAGTGGCTGCCGCTCCATACACTGTGCACCACCATTCAGCCAGCACTTGGTGTGTGTCCCGCAACACCACCAAGCGCGTACACCTTACATCCCATCTGCATACATATGTAATTACGTATATATGTATATAGTTCACCTTCATACGCGCACTAAAGTCCATAACCTTGTGGAAGGCCATGAAAAGCTATCAACAGAAGGACACATGAAATGAGAGATGAAAAAAGGTGAAAATTAGTATCAAGGAAAAATGCAAACAGGTTGCAAAAGCTTTTCCTTGCAAATCATAATCATTTGGGACGATTGGGTAGTGCACAGTTGAAGAGAGTACTCGCATAACAACAGTGTAGATACAAACGCGCACTTTTGTATGTACATAGTCCATGTGTATATACATATTTGCGTCTCAACCCAATACCCAGCACCCACCGCTTTGCTTTGAAAATCTACAACGAAATTAGGTCAATGGAGCACCAAAAGGCTCACACGAAGTTAAAGTCCTCACTCTCTCACCATGAGCTCTCTTCCTTTTGACTTTCGAATTGTTGACATTTTCCCTCCTGCTGGTGGGCGGCTCAGTTTGTCTTATAATAAAGTAATAAAAGAATTATACAGCTTCAGTGTAGTAAATAAATTAACTCTTTGAGTAACTAAGATTACTATGTAAACACCACACACGCATACACACTTACATACTTATACACTCTTTTATGTCCATATATATATGTTGGGTATAAACTGACAAAGCTTCAAATGTAATCCCAGAAGATTATTTCCTTTTTGCAGTTCGCATAAATCGTATAAAGGTATCTTGAATATCTTCTGTAATTTGTGTTATGTCTTGTTGTTGTCATCATGCAGAAGAAATCTTCTTTAATATTTCACGCTCATTTCGTAAGACTTATGAATTTGCGCGGTTTCTTGGTTTCTCTCGTAGAGGACAACAAATCTTACGCAAAAACTTTCTCTCCAAAACTTATCCATGCCTCCGCATCATACTATACTCGTGTGGCCGGTGTGGAAGGAGGTGCGATTTGTCGGGTTGGGTTTCGTTCCCCGAGAGAGGATTTTACTTTTCAATTATCTACTCAGTTCGCAGTACCACCAAGAGTGATGCTACGTTGGATTTAAAGCTGACATTGGTGTTTAAGCTAATGATGGCTCCAAGATCAGTATGCACTGATCACCTCTCTGAGTCTCACAAAAGTTTCCTCCGGTCTTGAAACCTTCTGTGACTCACTGCATATTTTCATAGCATTTTCGAGCCTTACCCCAGTCGGCCAGCTTTTCAAGCACTTCCACACGCATCTCGACCTTTTTCTTTTTCTCTCTGAACATTCGCCTTGATACCCTCTTCAATTTTCGGTACCAGATAGGCAGCCAATCATCGTCCTGTTGTACGTCGGGAACTGTTTCCAGTTGCTGATGAGTGCCCTCAGAGAGTTGGAGGGCAAGGCGAGAAGAAAACCTTTCGACTAGCTGTTGTGATTGCCGCTTTTCGACAACGTAACTTCCTTCTGTTTATTGATAAATGTTCTTTACAATATATTACAATAAAGTGGTCCCAGTCGATGTTGGGTCCTTGGAACGGGCGTACAGCAAAAACGTTGAACGTTGACGAACCGCTTTGATGCGGGTTTTTGCGAGACGTTCCTTCACCATGGTGAATGCCAATACTCAGCGTCGGAGTCTCTCTCCCATCACGAATTCAACACCAAATTTATTCCTTATATGACCGCTGTAGTAAATATCAGAAAGATCTACTAGTCTTTGCCCTTGTCACGTCCATCATATCGCTTGGACGCCAGTGGTTTCTGCCTATAGTCATATGAGGATATTAACCAGATAATCAACGGTATTCTTACAAACACTTAAATCATTATTTCTACACGGCGGGTCTCAAAACCCCTCTAAATGAGCAAGTTTGAATTTTATACACATTTATATAGCGAGCTGCTTGCTTTAAGACCGACGCCTGCTCGGCAGCGAGCCGTTATATCCAATATGTCGGAGTGGTTCCCCTGAAGCTTCCTTCCTTTTAGCCGTGACCCAAGGCTACACACGGGTTGGTGACCGTTTTTTTGTCAGGGTACACAAGAATAGGTATTGGGTATAGCCTCGCAACTGTAACTGCACACCCAAAAGCTTCACTACTTCCGTATTTATTTTTCCCAATAAAACCGTTTAATATAGGAAGAACCTTAAATCTTTTTTTTTAATAAAAAAAAAACTGTAAGAACCAAACCCGTTATTAATTCATCGTCGGTTTCCCCGATCAAAAGATTCTGATAAATCGAAGTGTTAAGTGCTCTGGTCGTTTAAAATATCGGATTCCAACATTTATTCCGATTAAATAAGTAATATCGAATTTCAGAACAACCCTTATATTGATGTATAACACTTACATTCCCATGATTAAGTAAGCTTGAGCACAAACAGAATTTAGATTAGCGACGGTCTTCTTCAAATTAACACCATTTATTCCGCAGACTCGTTTAGCATGCATTTTTTATTGCGGCTTTCGAATGTCATCGAAGTGGCTTCTACTCACGAGTGTTTGAGACATGTATGTATGTATTCGTACAGACGAGGCATATCCAATAAATACGTGTACTGAATTTTCGTAGGAGTGGGCTGCTGTTCTTGAAGACGTTGCTGTACATGCCTTGGTTATCTAGATATTTTTTCACCAACTCTCTAATATGTATCTCTGTCGAGGGGAATCGCCAATTCGCTATAATCCAAAGGCTTCAGAATGCAACCTTTCCGCGGGCTTACTTAGACCAGTTGTTTGATTCATACTTCTTCCCAGCAACTTCGGTGCTAGAGTGGGTCGAGATACTTTGATTATATAACTCTAGTCCTTTGACATCTCGCCTTGGTCGATCTCGTATTCCAAGTGGATTAGGTTTGGAATACTTCCATAATAATTCATAGCTTTTTCCCAACAGAAATAAAACACAAGCAAATTAATCCGCAGCCGCACAATACTTTCATGAGACAAATCAAACGCGTTGTGCTGATGGAACCACTTTAGTACATAATGTAAGCTTTTTTCGCCCCGATCGCCATTCCTTTCTATGCAAGCCAAGCCATTCCTTTCTAGTGCAAAGCGGGTTATCAATTTTTGCCTTCCTCGAAGTAGTTTGCCGCCAACCTCTTTGTCCACTTCTCCACCACGAAGGAGGTTGGTACATACTCAGCGGTTGAAACCCTTCTCTCTCCCATGTCCAGCTTCAGCTAGGGTAAAGCGATAGTAATCTGAAGATGCTCGGTCAGGGGAATATGTGGAATGGTTCAGAGCATCCAATTTAAGAGAAGTGAGCAATTCCTTCGTGGCATGGGTCGTGTGTGGTCTGTCGTGCAGCAGGTATTATACTTTTGTCAGCCCCCTCCGCAGTTCTTTGGGGTCGTAAAGTATTTTGCAGAGTTGATAGCTTCATTTGGAGATAGATATTGGTATAGAATTATGCCACGTGTGTCACAATTGGTGGGAGACTGGATTGGTATTGTTCAAGAAACTTATTGTCACGTCGACAATTCTCAATAACGTCCTGACCTCGAAAGGATCTCGTTCTGAAGAGAAGAAGTCTTCTGGCTGCACTACCGTGTTGCCTACATAACAAAACTAAAATCTCTTCGGCCGTGAGAGCCTCAAGACACTTACTTCCTGGTCTTACCTCGTACTTGTGGGGATTTATAGCTTTGGAATTATTTATGTTCTTCGGTTGGCTTTGCCAAGCCAATCACATCACACACCTAAACGTGGTCTTATATACACACATACATATAGTACATCTTAACTCTTCTCTGTCAGCTCTCATGTATTTTATATTTCTTTTATTTCACCACGTTTTCATGATGTTAATTTTAATTTTTATTTTTTTATTTTATTATTTTTCTTGCAGGAGAAAGACCAATACGGCAATGAAGTACAGCGTTTGGCGCGTCCTCTGCCTGTTGAATATCTGCTTGTGGATGTGCCCGCCTCCACGCCACTGCAGCCACAATTCACATTCACACAATACAAGAAACGCGGTGAACCATTCCCGGTGGAGAATCGTTACCTGGATGGACATTTGCAGGATTTCACTGCGTTAAGCACGTATCTCTCCCACTGGACGGATCAGGAATATCTCGAAGCCATTTCAGATTTTCATTTGTTGCTGTATTTGTTTAGAATGGACACGGTGCCGTTGCGTGCACACATGGGGCCACTGCTGGAGGCCGTACGCACCAAAAATGCCGAACTGGCATACAGTTTTAAGGCAAGCGAACCGTGGAAGCTCTTGGAGTCGCTCATACACGCGAGCATCGGCGGCGGCGTCGGAAGGTCAGTACGTACATACATGCGTATATACATTCATATGTAGTAGTGAAGTAAATTGAGTTGAAGCTGCAGCACAGCACGTAGCATATTCAATATGTATATATATATATGCATATACAAATATATATGTATATGTGTACATACGTAAGCGGCGATTGGTGGTCTGGTGGCATTTTTGTATTTATATTACGTTATTGTTGTTTTATTGCTGCTTATTTGACACAACTCTTTTTTTCTCTCTCTTTCTCTCTCTCTCTCTCTGTCTCTCTCCCTCTTTAGCGGTCCGTCTGCTGGTCGTACAAGCGCTGCCAACACCGCGGGCTCCACCACTGGCGCCGGTGCTGCTGGTGCGAACAATCAGTGGCAATGCAATCACTGCACCTTCCTTAATCCTAGCGAATTGAACTCCTGTGAGATGTGCTCGCTGCCCAGATAAACACCTCGTCGCTCTTCATGCTCTCGCCGTCATCGTTGCCGCCGTTGCTGTGTGTGCGCGCAATTTCAGATCCGTTTGTTTGGTTCATTTGCTTTATGGTGAACTCCCCTATTCAAAAAAAAAAAAATAAATAAAATAAAATAAAAATAAAAACAAAAATAATAAAATACAGTTGCAGAATCTTTGATTGACAAGATTTGATTAATTCGTTTACATGTGTTAAAATAAAACCAAAAAAAAAAAAAAAAAAACAAAAAAAAACCCTACACAATAGAATAGAAGAACATGAAGCATAATATTATGTAATACACCCTGATCGTTTGTGATTTATTTAAAAATAAATTTAATAAAATTTTATATATATTACACCAAAATACAAACAAACATGCAGCGGTCATATGGTCTGAGTACATATATAAGGCATATATACATATAAATATATGTATGTACGAGTATGTATGTATATGCATCAGTGTACACTGTACTGATTTAAGAACACCATAATACTTCCTGGCCCACTCCACTCATACACGCATACATACATATGTATATGCATACACATTTCCTTACAAAAACAGGCGCGTTTAAACTTGACGGGATGTACAACCTCATAGCAAAATACACACATAAAAGAATATAAATAATATATTCGATGTCATCGTCGTCGGTATGTGTAATTATTATGTCACACAAATATACAAGTTTATGCTAAAAATATAGATTCAATAAATAAATAAATTATTTATCTATTATTCTTAAAGTTATTTATTTATTCGAAATGAAAAAAAAAATTCACCGCGATACTTGCGATCTCTGCCAAGAACTTGTCCACAGAATTCTCAGCTCTGCTACGGTCAGCTGATTTTATTATAGCAAGAGAGTTTGAAACGTGGACAATACTAAATATCATCGAACAAACTGTCGGCGCACTTACGATTTGACGCCCACGTCACTGTTGACAGTTTTAACTTCGACTTCGTCTACTAGTCCCTTGGGTAATAACACCGAGCCGAACCTTTTTTGCCAATAGATACCACTTTGGACTGAGTAGGTAGTTGAAAAGGAAAGTCCTCTCATAAGCAACAAAAGCTAAGTCTTTCGCTCATCTTTCTCGCCCTACTATATGGTGCAGAACGATGTCGACATCTCACGAGTCTGCAAGAGAAAATTTTCGCCAACGATTTCTGATCCTTTGCGCATGAAACGATGATCCGTACGAGTTATACGGTGACATTGGTAAATGTAGTTCTGTGAATGAAGAGGCAATGTAAAAGTATTCTATGCAGTACCCGCCTGCGCAGAGATCAAAAAAGGACGAATGTCGCGCTGTTGTTGATTCGGCTATAAACGTGTAAGAGGTGTGAGAAGAAGATACTTTTTCTTTGCTATAGCAAATGGTGGTTAAATGATGGAAAGTCCCCGCTATATAATGTGTGCATCAAAACATCTAAACCAAGCTCCGTCGCTTGCCGTCTTGTCATCATAGATGTTTGTGCTTTGGCGTTATCATGATGAAACATAACACCTTTCCTATTGATCAGTTCTGGGTGATCTTTTTTTTGAATAGCTTATTGTAAGCTTAACCAGGCTTGACCACAATAATTTCTTTATTATTATTATTATTTTTTTTTGTTTGATTTTTTAAATAATTTATCGAGATGCATCTTGGACATAAACATTTGCGAAACGGAAGCGAGGAATTGGGTGGCTGCGCTAGTCGAGTGGTTAGCATTGTGTACTGCCATTCGGAAGGCTCTGGTCCAAATCCTTGTGTCGGTTATAGAAAGTTATTTTAAATAAAAAATTACGCTAAATTTTCTAATTGCGGTCGACTCTCGGCAGCAAGTGTCAACCCCTCCGAGTGTATTTCTGAAAACCCCTCCTCATAAGAAAACCATCAGCCGTTCGGAGGCGACTTAGTATAAACTGTAGGTCCCTCCATTTGTTGGAAAAACATCAAGACGTAAAACCACAAATCGGAGGAGGAGCTCGGCCGAAATTCGCCTCAGCGGTTACAAACCGGCAATTATATATACATATACATATATAAAAACGAGGAAATCATTCTTGGGTCCATAGTTAGTTAGTGAGTTAAAGAGGTTGTTTAATCACGGGCTCCCTTGGTCTTGATCACCCTTAAGCCTGTTTACCTGTCGTTTTGGTATTATTGCAATGAGGAGACTTGCTGCCAGCTTAGCTATCCGAATATATTTTAATATGTTGAGTTACCATACTGAATTTGTGTAACCACGAAGCCTTTTATACGCTGCAACGTTCGGGAAGTCTCTTTCTCGTGGCTATTGCAAGTTGTTTAGAATGAACTCCTTAACCTATCTTGCAATCGGGTTTCGAGATGTTGCCTACGGATCGTAATGTTTACTGAACATTAACAGAATTTCTTTTATTTTTAGTAAAATCAAAGCATATTCAGCAATAACTTTAATTTTCTTCGTCGATTTCGGAAGCTTATGAATGGATGTTCGGCATTGTGACGAGCACAACAACCTTGCTTCGCAAGGTTCCATTACCAAAATTGGATATTAATGTATCTAGAGCCGAAGCAAAAGCAAACATTTGTTGTATTAAGTCCAGAACGTTTCTGAAAATTGTTTCTTTTTCAATATTCGCGGTTTGGTTCATCATGAATTCGTTCCAACGGAACCGACGGTCGTACTGAGCTGGAGTTGTGAACGACTTTAAGACCAAAAACACGTTCAATACCATCGATTAACCGAATGGTACACGTTTCGTCTCGATTGAAATTCGGAAATTCGTATAGGGAGCTGAGGTCGACTGATTTCACTGGCTACTGCAAAAGGAAATGGTTTACAGCACGCGATTTGGCATAGTAACCGGTAACTTTCTGGTCTTATTGTAAGTCTCGGAAAGACCCTTGAATAGGCTGAATCAGGCGTAGGGACGATGCTTTGGCGTACAAGTCAACTTCAAGGTCGACCGGCCACCAATGGCTTATTGACAGCTATCTAATTAAAAAAAATTCTTAAACTAAAATGAGAATAAGGGTATTGCCTCTGGAACTCCACTTTCTCTAAAGCATTTCTAAATTAAAAACTTACCTGAAAATCACTTTTAGCCAAGTAGTATATATTACCTTTGAAAAATAATGACATTTTTGAAAATAAAACTATATTCCTCATTTTCATTTCATAATTTTTAAATTGTGTTGAAAATTGTAGTGAATTGTGTGTGTGGAATAAAAGCAAAAATTAAGTGTTTTTCTTGCAAAAATTTTTATTCCAAATTACGTTTTAACTCTCTGAGAATATTTTGAGTAAGTAAAATCCAAACAAATGAACTTTTCCTATGAAATTTTACTTTGTGTAAAAAGAAGCGACTGGTGGCAACGCTATTTGCTTTTGGTGGCTGTTAAAAGCTCAACGGCCGAAAGCTCTTAAGCGAACAGCTGGAAATTGCCTGCGCCGAGACACACCAGCAAGTCTGTGACTTCATACAACGGGTGTGAAAAATCGATTCATTTATGACGTATTAGAACGGCTGTGTAGCGGCAGAGCATGACTTAAGTTTTTTATGGTAAATAGACATACATACATATGTATGTACATATAGATCTGTGTTTGTATGTTTTATGTGCCGTTTGTAGGTTGTGCGGTAATAAAGTGAAGCTAACAAAATGACGATGAATCAGCATGGTTGTGTTTTGTGCATATGTATGTATATGTGTACATATGTATGTATTTTTGCACCCAATGACATTGTCACAATTGGGTTTTCTGGTTTTGTTTGCAATGAGATAGACTAATTTTTTTTTTTGACTACCTTGAAATACGCGGCGTCAATGGATATACGCCGAAAGTACGGTTATGTGAAGATGTACTGCCTTCTTGCCATTGGAACTACCAAAACGTCCGCAAAGTTGTATAGAGAAAAGATGTAAATTCTATTTTTTAACAAGAAATAAGCGCAGTCTTCCGCCATACCGTAGTCTACATACCTTTAACGACCATAATAAATTTTTGGTAGCTAACTTTGGCATTAAATATTAATTCTTATATTTGAAAAATTGATTGGTAGCCTTTTAATTCAGTTTTTGATGATTTTCGGTGTCAACATTTTTTTGAGTCCGTCCACAATTGCGCACATCAATGGTAGCTGTGCCCATCCACTTCATGAACGATTTTTCAGAAGGCACTTTGTTTGCGTGCCGTCCAGCAAAAAGAACCCAGCCATATATTGGATGAGTGCATAAGTTCGTGCCCGATTCCGCTGGATGCCGTTCGAATCGTTTGAGAGTGGCGCTCGTGAAAGAAATATATACATATTATATATCGTTGGAAAGGTGACAGTCCGAACTGTAAGTCAAGCATAAAATAACTTCATTTTGATTTGAGTTGCTTAGTGAAAAGACGCATGGAAGATGGACAACGAAAAAGATCATATGCGTCATATTATGTTATACGAATTCCGCAAAGGAAAAACAGTAGGCGCTGCAACTAAAGATATTCGCGAAGTTTATTTGGACCGTGCTCCAGCACTCCGCACAGTAAAGAAATGGTTCGCGAAATTTCGTTCTGGAGATTTTAACCTCGAAGATCAACCTCGCAGTGGACGGCCTTCTGAGCTTGATGACGATGTTCTAAGGACTTTAGTTGCGAATAACTCACGTATTTCGACGGAAGAGGTTGCCAGTGAATTGAACGTCAACAAATCAACTGCGTTTCGTCGTTTAAAAAAGGTTGGGTACACTTTGAAGCTCGATACATGGGTGCCACATCAGTTGAGTGAAAAAAACAAAGTGGACCGTATGTCAACAGCAATTTCTTTGCTTCGACGGATCAAAAACGAACCTTTTTTGGATCGGCTCGTGACTGGTGATGAAAAATGGATCCTGTACAACAATGTTCAACGCAAAAGAACATGGAAACAGGCACACGAAGGGGCGGAACCGATGTCGAAAGGTGGATTGCATCCGATGAAGGTACTGCTGTGCATTTGGTGGGATATCCGAGGCGTGATCTATTTTGAGCTCTTGCCAGCTGGAGAAACGATCACTGCCAACAAGTATTGTCAGCAATTGGTCGAATTGAAGAAAGCAATTGATGAAAAACGTCCGATTTTGGCCAATCGCAAAGGAGTTCTTTTCCATCATGACAACGCCAGGCCACATGTTGCAAAACCGACCCTGGCCAAACTGAAGGAGATGAATTGGGAAATCATGCCGCATCCCCCATATTCACCCGACATTGCACCTTCTGATTATCATTTGTTTCGATCGCTGCAGAACAATTTGAATGGAAAAAAATTTAAAAATGTGGAAGACGTCAAAAACCACCTTGACACCTTTTTCAACGAGAAACCGCGCGATTTCTATGAATCAGGCATCCGTAAATTGGTTGAACGTTGGGAGTGGATTGCCGAACATGATGGCGAATACATAATTGATTAATAAAAGCGCTTTCTTCAAAAAATTTCAATTTTAGTTTGCACTTGAAAACGGGCACGAACTTATGCACTCATCAATAGTTACAATCAACCGGGAACACAGTAGAGCCATGATCAATGACTTCTTCATGCCTGAATTGAAAGATTTTGTTCTGAACGACCTTTGGTTTCAATAAAATGGCGTTACAGTTCACACAGCCAATCAAACCAATCAATATATTGGAGGAAACTTCTGGTGAGCGCATTATGCCACGTCGTGGGTTTGTAATGTGACCTTCAAGATAGTGCGATTTAACACCGCTGGACTATTCTTTGTGGGGTTAAGGATAGTCGCTTATCTACACAGATGGTACTGCGGCGATTGTCACCTTGGAAGAGAATATTTGGCGCGTCAACTACGGCTTCATTTGCTGCAAAAAGTCGTCGAAAATTTTGTCTCTCGGCTGAAAGTTTTCGCCAGCTGCAACGGTCATTTGCCCGAAATCATTTCTAAAAACGTAATGACCACCCCTTATTTGAATAGCAAATCTAAGTGCTTGGTGATTGCGTACTAAGTAATATTCGGAAAGCTAGGACTCGAGTCCTGTTTCCACCAGCATACAAAATTTTAGAAAATTAGTGCTAGGCAAATAGTTTATATTTCCATATTTCCATAGAAATAATTAAATTTAATAAGAAATAAATGAAATATCGAAAAGTTCCAGCAAGTGAAAGCGCCGCACTAAATTCATATGAAAGCTGTGTGGAGTATTTACAAAATGTTAAGCTCCGAACTTAGCTCTTCCCTACTAGCAAAACAATTTATTTACTGCGATTTGTATGTAAATACAATAATTTAACAGAATTTCCTTGCTTTTTATAGATATTTCTACTACTTTCGGCTATGGAGTATAACATCGTTAAGAGATCTATGGTCTGCTCTTGCCTTGAGCTTTTGAGGTATAATTTTATGAGATTGTTTCCTGTTAGAATTACGCCATTTTTATGTTTTGCTGTCGCCTTAAAATTGACATGCAATCGAGTTTTGTTGTTTATTTTTGTGATTTAGTGTGTGTAATGTACATACATACATACATACGAGTATGTATATTTAACGTTTGTCGTAAAGACATAGTCGTAAATTGTAAGGACATTTGAAGGTCTTCTTTCTGTGTGGTGTAAACAAACAAATATTTGCTGCTGCAAACAGTTGTAGGCACCTATGTATATATGTATGCATGTATGTATGTATGCACATTTACCACGTCACATATTTGCTTTTAATCAAACATTTAAATTTCAATACAAATACTTTTTTGTTTAATTTCCCCAACACTAAGCTTTGTACGAGTGAGCGGGTTTATTCCACTTATTGCCAAAGGCTAAATTTCTTTATTAAATGCTATAATCAGTGTGATTTCCGCAGTATTTATTTCTATACATACATACATATATTTTTAATATTTTTATTTATTTTTTATTTTCAATACCACGACGCGCCCACCACTCAACTGCAGTCCAGCTACCATAACTAATGTATTCCTCCAATGCATACGTGATCGCGAGCGCGTTGCTTATTTCACGTGCAATGCGTATATACATAAGTATGTGTGCATGTATGTATGTTCATGTATGTCACAAAAAATTCTTGGTAATTTAGCGTTTGCCCCCACAATTTGCCAAAGCAATTACAACGCTTTAAACATTCATAGGAATTTTTGCGCAATCGTTCGTGTGAACTATGAGTACACTCAGTGGCCGAGCAGCTATGTATATTTGTACTCGTACATACATATGGATATTTGACTAGAATGGTTTTCAATTTTATCGCTAAAACAAAAACTACATACATACTCAAAGGTGCTCACTTTTATACTCACATGCACGCATACCTAGCATGTAAAGGGTGTTTTTTTTAGACATATGGTTTTCAAGAAGAAATAAAACGCATATGATTTAATGCTTTGGGCAAGAATTTAGCTTTACCATAAGGATAACTGTTTGCAAATATGTTTTAAAACTGATTTCGGGTAAGTATCCGCCGCGGTTGGCTCGCAAACGTATAAATTCCAGACATGAGGCTCAATTTTCGACAACTTTTTGCAGCAATTGGTGCCGAATATTCTCTTCCTAGCGACTTCACTTAACTCCACTAAAAACAGTACAATGGTATTAAGTCGCATGATTTTGAAGACCACGAAAAATTGATTGTTTCCTTGGCTGTATGGCATGTAGCGCAGTCTTGTTGGACCCAAAGGTCGCCCACATCAACATCCTCCAATTCAGTCTCGAAAAAGTCATTGCCCTGGTTTTATAGCCTACCTATAGTATTCCTCCGTTGACTTTTACATTATGACCGGCTTCATTTTTGATGAAATATGGATCAATGATACCCACTGCCCTGACCGTAGAACACAGCAGTGACTTTTTGTGGATGTCTCAACGATAGCTTGTGAATTACTATCTCTCTAAATGTGAAAATCTTACTTATTAACATACCTAGTTAACCAAAAGTGCGCTTCGTCGTTGAACAAATTTTTCTTGTGAAAGTCGGAATCGGTGGCCAACTCGTTTCCGTATGACGTGTTTGATGGTTGTTCGGCTTTGATTATTGCACACGTTGGATTTTGTAAGCTCGCCATGCAAGATCTTTTCGCAAAATCTCAATTGATTTGATGTGCACAGCGTCTTCGGTACGCACCGATTCATCAATTTTTGCTCGAATCACCGACTTTGCTGGGCGATTGTGACGACCGAACATTGCTGGCAGCGCGTTGTGCGACTCCCGAAACGAAGCATTCTTTTGGCAATAAATTTTGCACGATCGTTGCGTACGTTGCTTCGTAGTAAGGCTGTGTTCATAATCAAATGGCATGCCAACCTAAGGGTAAGCCGAGTAAGTGCGCGCTGTCGAAAAGAGCAACCCCGCTTCACTGAAAACCACACAACTAAAAAAAAAACACCCTTTATATAAACTTTTCCCAGATGGGAGAACAATTTATTTGCAATGCAAATACAAAATATTTATTTATATAAATATTTGTATGAATGTGTTTACAATACAAAATAATATTTCTCTCTGTTTGCAAATATCCATTAATTTTATTTCTTCTTCTTACTTTTCATTGCATTTCAACACATCGTTGATGTTTGCAGAATTATACGCTATTTTCTAGATAAACAATTCTTCTATTATTAATGTTAATGTTTTCGGAGCATTGTTTTTGTTTTTTCAATTTATTGAGTTGTGTTTATGCAATATTGAATTTGTTGTTGCTCTCAATGTTTATTAATCTTAACCAAAAAGCGATTTTTTACATTGCCTCAACAACAACAACAACCACAACTCAGCTCGAGTGAACAGTGGCGGCGTGGTTTTCAAAACTCATGGCGGGGCGAGTTTTTAACCCTGGAAAAATATATGTATCTAATATTACAAAAAAATCCAAAAAACTAAAAAATTATATTAATAATGAGTATTGATGTATTAATCTAAGCAGGAGCCTAACTAAATTATTAAAAAGGTCTAAGTTAAATTATAAATATTGGCAGCATCGTTGAAGTACCATTGTTTTGGCAACCACAATTTTTGCTATAAAAATATTGCGACCGAAAATTCAATTAAACGTAAAAAAAAACTTTCATAAATATTAGCATTTTTTTAATAAAAATCAAAAGTTTTTAATTACATAAAGGAATAAAAAAATAATGATGAAATATTAGGTCTAGTAAAGAGTAATCAATTATTTTTTCATTAAATTTAATGCTTTATTTGGCACACTTAGAATTATCCGACTTATGTCAAATATGGACTGCTTTGCTCGACAACTTTTTGCTGATGGCATTGCCTCTTTCATAGGAAATCAATTTTCACAGACTTCTCTTTAGGTCAATTCTTCACCAACCAAATCATTCGCCATAGATTGGAACAAATAGCGATCACTTGGTGCGAGCTCCAAACAGTAAGAAAAATGCATAAACCCTCCCCACCAAGCTCTCGGAGCCTCTAACGAGTTACTATCGATGTGTGTGGTCTAGAGTTTTTCTGATGAAACCCGTTCTGTTCGCCAAAACTGGACGATGGCTTCCTTAAGATGCTCCACTTGCTGTGATTACAGTTTCGTAAAATTTTGGACTTAAAGGAGCATATCATAGTGGATGATTCCTTACCAATGCCACCAAACACAGCTAGAAGTCAATCCCGGCCTGGAGATCCTTTCTGATATTGCTTTAGTTGATCCAATTTTCATCACCAGTCATCGCTTTGTAATTGTAACGATTCAGCAGCGATTCGCAAATGTAGTTCATTTGTGTATACAGTCTTTTTTCAAGTAGTTCCAAGCAGGTTTTTGTGCGGTATTTAACTTCTGGCTTCTGAGCACTTTCAAAAGTGTTCGCAAGACGGTTAGACTAGACGATTTCCTTAATTTTAAATCGGCAAACCCAAAAATGGACATGATTGACACATTTTCTGCTGCCTCAATTGCGTTTTCGCCTTTATAGAAGAAACATTTTTGAATATAAGGTATTTTCTCTTTGCTGGGGTCCATCTTTTTCATGCACTCAAACACTACTGAATTAAGGGATCAGTACAAAAAGCGACCTACACTCAGCTGTTGCCAATATATATATAAATAATTAGAGCTTTGTAACCGCTGAGATTTTTTTTTTCGGCCGAGCTCATCCTCAAATTTGTGGTTTTGCGTCATGATATTTTTCCAACAAGTGGATGGACCTACAGTTTATACTAAGCTGCCTCCGAAAGGCTGATGGTTTTTTATGAGGAGCTTTATTTCATGTCAGAAATACAATCGGAATGGTTGACATTCCCTGCCGAGGGGCGACCGCAATTAGAAAATTTAACTTTTATTTGTTTTTTTATTTTTATTTGTATTAATTTTCATTTACTTTTGGATGTTGGTGACACCGGGATTGGAACACAAGCTAACCACTTGGCTACTGCGGCCGCTAACATAGCATCATGAGATTCAGTATGCTAAATTCATCATGAAAGGTATAAAGACTTCCTTCTTGTTTTTTTTTTTTTTTGCCTCCTTTTCTATCGCACGTCTCTGTCATATTGCCGGTTGCGATAAGCGATGAAGAGAATTCCCGTTGATGACGCAGCTTTTCGCAAAACAAAACGTTGCGAGTGCATTTAATTTGTTTGTTTTTTCGCGAGTGTGTGTGTTTGAAATTTTTATTTATTATTTTCTTTTATTATTACGAACGTTTTTTATTCGAATCATAATGTTATTGCTGCCTGCAGCCACGAAAAAAAAAATAAAAATTGCTGCTGTTGACTGAAATGAAAATATTAGCAAACGTTGAGCGTCCACGAGAGAGCGCGGCTAGCGGCTCTCAGAAGCGTCTTCGCTCCAATCAGCTGTTTTTGGTCTTCTAGCCTACACACGAAATTAAATTAATAATTTAATGAATGAATGGTGAGTGATGTTTACGCACAGATATATTATATGTACATATGTATGCATGTGAGCGAAGATAAATATACAATATATCTATATTTATATATATATAAATATATATATGTTTATATATAGATATATGCATGTTTCTTATGTTGTTGCTGTTGAATTGACGGAAAAAAACTTTAGCATCTTTTTAATGGCTATTTTATGATGTTTTAATTAAATAACTTTTTTTCTGCTCAATAATTATTTACATACATAGCTAAATTTATTTCGGGAAAGAAATATAAAAACCTTGGCATATACATAAAAAAGCATAGACATGTATAGACACTCGTAGGTATGTTATGTTACACCTCCGCAATTGGTTGTCACGCGCTCCATCCATCTAATAACCAAAAACATTTCACTTGCTCCTTCGACGTGTTGAACACAGCGTCCTCCAGTCTTATGTAAACAGCTGACGATAGTCAGTAGGCTGTTTATGACAACAACATCAAAAGCATATATTGGTCTGATTGTAATGCTGTT